TTGTGAATTTCCATAAATAGTAAAAAAAAATTATTTAAACATATGTGCAATGATCATATTACTAGCATGTAACATAGTATGTATATTCTACTGTTAGAATCAATTAAAAATATGGTATGTGATTGTTCATATAAATGCTTACATGCTTCATCCATTAGTGGTGAGCTTTGTATATATTTAAACTGTAAATGTATCATTACCTGTTCACCAGACAATACATGACTTGTTGTTCGAACTTCTTGAGTTACTACTCTCTGTTCCTGTCTTGTTGCACTGGTGGCTGTTGTATGTGCTACAGTCTTTTCTTCTACCTAATATAAAAAAAAAATATAAAAAAATAATTCTAGCTCTATAGGTCTGTAGAGAAATATGTTGCAGAAAATATATATAAAAATTTAACATATTTGCATACTGGAATATGAGCAAGCAGAATGAAATTACAAACCTGGCTGGTTTTTTGATTTTTTTCAAGGTCTTCGTGCATTGTAGCGGTGCGGGTGGTAACAGCAGTTGCTGTCATATATGGAGCTCTACCATCATCCGGTGCCTCTGCCTAAATACAACTACAAGGTAACTAATGCCTTACAATAAAGCAGCAATGTATATATGTATACAAAATTATAAGAGTGTTAATGAGTTAAAATTTTTCTTTTCAAATACTTCTTATACACTGGTTTCAAGATGATTATAAATTTTTTTGTTCAGAAATAACATTTGTAACTTATATTAATAACACACACTTACTACATGCAGTAGTCAAATACTCAATAACTAAGAATCACATAACAATATCTACAATGCATATCATAGAACTACCAAATGCACTATATTCAATATTATTCAAATATTTTTGTATTTATAAATTGGATCTGACAGAAATTTATTCAGAAGTCAGGGACAAAAAAAAATTATTTTTAAAAAATACTTAAAAATCTATGGGTATCATACAATACTTTAAACAAAACATTTTATTTTTTCTGTTGCTAGTACTCTTTTTACCTCCTAGTTAGTGAAGCAGTTATTTATACTGTTATATATCTTAATATTTTGTATTGTTTTAAAAGTTATATCACCTTGTTAATTTGTGTAGAAACTGTTACTTGGCCTGTGCCTCCAGGTGTAAGGTCTTCAACTTTTTCTTCTATGTTTTGTGTCACACCTTCTTGATCCTTTACTACTGATTGTTTGGTTGTGGTTTTCACTATTGTTGGAGTAGTGCTTGAAGCTAAAGCTTTCTTCATTTTTAAAGAGGTTAATTTTGTCGTATCTCGGATTTCTTTTAAAATAGTGTCGCTGTCTAAAGGTTGTCCACTACTGCTAAGAATAACACCGTCCTTGAGAGATGCTCCTTCTTCTCCGAAAATTTCTTGATTCATTAATTTACCAAATTTATCGTGAATTTTTCCATCCTGAATGTAACTTCCGTCATTTCCGAATGGTGCTTGTTTAACTGGTTTTCCATCTTTATCGCAGAGCAATCCATTACGAACTATCGTGACAGTAATAACTGTGAAGTATTTATCAAGGGGTTTTCCCGTGGGGTCACAAACGACTCCATCTTTAACAATGTTGATTTCATCGTCAAAATTTGCTCGTTCTAAAGGTTTTCCAGTCTTCCGGTCTACTACAATTCCATTTACTACTTTCACACCTTCAGGTCCAAATGCTTCTTGTGTTAAGGGTTGCCCATTAGAATCATAAATTTTTCCATTTCTAATAAAACTAGTTTCTGGTGGTAAAACACCTTGAGACATTGGTTTCCCATTACTTCCATAAATGAGACCATCTTTAATAAAGCTTTTATCGTATTTATAGAAAGATTGATTGAAGGGTTGACCTGTATGATCATAAATTCTTCCATTTTTGACAACGCTACCAACGTTATCAAAATTACCAGACTGTAATGGTTTACCATCATTACCGTACACCAAACCGTAACGAACTAGTGAAATATAAAGTACTGCCTCTTTTCGATTTAGCGGTTTTCCACTTGGACCATATAACAATCCATTTTTTATACAACTTCCGTCGTTTCCAAATAATCCATGACCAAGCAATTGTTTGTCTTTTCCATAAATATAGCCATTGGCAATGTATCCTCCATCAGTACCAAATGAACTATGATCCAAAGGTTGATTATCTTTACCATAAATTCTACCTTCTTTAACATAACTTTTACTAGGTAATTCAGTACCAATATTCAGCAATCGTCCACCCCATCCATATATAAGACCATCCCTAATATAACTACCATCAGGTTTAAATGCACCTTGTTTCAAAGGGCATTGATTTCTATCATAAACGACACCATCTCGAATATAACATCCATGTGGAACAAGGGATGCTAAGTTTTTAGGATTTCCTTGATTATCAACAATTTTTCCATCTTTCACCGCTAAATTATCTGGTCCTTTATCATCTTGAGTCAATGGTTTTCCATCTCTGCCAATAATCAATCCGTTTTTAATAATATTACCATCAGGTCCAAAGACACCTTCCGAAATTATCCTGCCATTCTTATTATGAATTATGCCACCGGCAACATACGAACCATCAGATCCAAACATGTTTAAAGTTAAAGGCCTACCGTGATAATCAAAGATTATACCATTTGCAATGAAGCTGTCTTCTGGAAGTGCTGAACAGAGGTTTAAGGGTTTGCCATCTTTGCCATACACAATACCATCTTTAACACAACTTCCATCTGGTTTGAAAAATGAAAATTTGAGCAGCTTTCCTTCTTTAGTATATAATTTACCATCATTAATAGATGCTCCTTCAGGTATTAAAGAATCCTGATTGAGGGGTTTCCCGCTCTTTGAATGAATAATACCCTTCTTTATGTAACTTCCGTTCGAACCAAAAGATTCTTGTTTAAGAGGTTTTCCATCTTTTCCAAGTATTATTCCATCTTTTACTGTGACACCATCTGGCCCAAGGAAAGCGTCTGAAAACGTTACACCATTCTCATCATAAATTATACCATCCTTAATTACAATATTATCCGGTTTAAAAAGACTTTGCGATAATGGTCTATTGTGTTCATTATATATAATCCCTTCTTTAATATAGCTTCCATCATCTATTAGAGGGATTTGACTTAAAAGTCTGCCTTCTTTACCGAATATCATACCATCTTTTACAAAACTACCATCAGGTTTGTAAAATGCATGTTTAATAGCTTTTCCATCTTTACCAACAATTTTTCCATCTTTCAAATGAGCACCACAAGGAAGCAAAGAACCTTGATTCAAGAATTTTCCATCCTTCGAATAAATTATACCATCTTTTATAACAGATCCATCTGAACTGAAAGATTCATGTTTTACTGGTTTACCATTTTTGGAATAAATTTTTCCGTCTGCTATATAGTGTCCCTCATGGCCTAAAATACCATTTGAAATTACATTTCCATTTGGTCCATAAATTAAACCATCGCATATGTAAGTTTCGTCAGGTATTAGTACAAATTGATTTACGGGTTTTCCATTTTCGTTACATACTACTCCTGCGACAACGTAGTTTTCATTTACACCATACGATCCTTGCGTAAGTGGTTTAGAGTCGGATGTAAATATAAGACCTTCTTTTACGTAAGTCCCATCATTACCTAACTTGTTATATTGTACTGCTTTTCCATTTTTTCCCACAATTTTACCATCTTTGACTAATGTATGTTCTAGTCCCAGTAAGTGTTGGTCGAGTATTTGTCCATTAGAATCATATACCATACCATTTTTGATGGAATTTTTTTCCACCCCTAAGATTTCTTGGTTCACGGGTGTACCATCCTTAGTCGTAATTGTGCCGTTATTGATATAAATTCCAGGTGGGCCAAATTCAGATTTTTTAATTGGATCTCCATCCTTTCCACAAATTATTCCATTTAATATCTGGCTATTATCCGGTCCAAGATTATGCTGATCTAATAATTTGCCATCTTTGGTATAAATAACACCTCCAATAATTATAGAACGATTCGGGAGTGGCAAAATGTGATACTCTGGTTTGGAGGTTGTGACAACCGGTTGACAATTAGCACCTTCAGCAGCAATGAGAACTGTTGACGCATTTTTATCAATCTCTGGTTTGGATGTAGCTTTTTGCTGTTCCTTTAATCCTGCAGATTCCACATAATTGAGACCGGGAGTATTTAATCCCGACGGGGGCTTGGAATCTGCTTCTTTGGTTTTTCTTTTCTCTGCTGACTCTGCAACTTTTCTCTCTTCACCTGGCGCATAGTTAAAGGCTAAGCCGGTGGCTTTCCGACTTGCTGCAGTTGGTGACTGTTGATTTTGAATTTCAGGCGATGCTGGTCTGTCTTCGTATGAAAATCCATGGGGCGTGAAAGGTTTTCTGGTTGGAGAAGTTTCCGTTTCTTCGTAATGATAAGGCTTCGTGTAGCTAGGGAGTTTTATAGATTCTGGAGTAGTTTGTGATTTTTCAATAGTTTGTTTTTCAGTCAAGGGTTTTGCTTGCTTCTCTGATACAGATAGATTCGACTCTGTATCACTTTTGTCCATTGATTCTTCCAATTCTTTATTCTTTTTCTGCTTCTTTTGCTTTGGTTCCTTTTCCTTCTTGCCAAATAGGAAGCCACCAACTGGAGTCTTTTATAATAAACAAAAACATGCAATACCAAAAACATGCCATATATCTAGTATTTCATCTTTACAAGTATATTACAGAAAAAAACTAACAAAGCTAATAAAAGCTACATATTCATATACACTATCTTTCGTCTGTTACAAAAATAAACTAACAGCCGTGCATAATACAGTTCGTATATCTCGGTTATAAAATTCAATCGAGTTCATCTCTTTAGATCGATATCTTTGGTATTTGTGCAGAAAAAAATTTTAAACGAGAAACGAGCATAGTGGCCTATACTTTTCTTCGCTAATTATAAAAAGCTGACATATCGATAGCAAAACAATGCACTTACCTTCACTTTTTCTTTCTTTTCTTTATCTCTTTTCTCTGGCGTTTCCTTATCTTTCTTTTTCAATTCTTTTTTACTCGGTGACTTTAAGTCGCTGTTGTCAAGAAGAGCACTTTCATTTATCAAATCAGAGTTGTTGAGATCATTATGATTTTCCTTTTCGTTTTCGTTTTGCTTATCCTTTTTCTTCTTAGAGAGACCACCGGGCGGTAGGACCGCAATTCCTCCGACCGGTTTCTATAAGTAAATTTATAGTCACACATCGCTTCATGCAATAAGCACGATTCAGCTCTATTGCTAAGCTATTATCAACTACTATGTTTTGTAACATTCTCTTGGCAGTATAGTTCATGCTTGGTAACTAAGTACGGTCTGCGCTCTCAAATAAATGTCAGTCGTTGATTTGTTAAATGAAGATACTTTCCTGAAGGATTTACTTGTAAAAATGTTAAGTTTCTTTCGTTATCTCTCTCTTGACATATGATGTTATAAATGATAGTTGATATTTCGCATGCGAGCATAAGCATTAACGCAGTTAAATAACTTAGAAAAATATTTTGCGCCTGCACATGCTCATGTGACATCGTTGTAAATGAAATTTCAAACAATTTGAGAATTCAACTTTGAGGCGATGGCCGTATATATAACGTTTGCAGAAAATAATTAAAAAGTAGCAGCATGCATCGAAAAAAAGGAAAACACCAAATGGTCACATACATTAATACAAACGGAAGTATATATGTTGGTTAATGCATGACAGTATGTTCCAGGTGAAATTCTATACCTTTTTGCCACGATCTGCATCATATTCTCCTTCCAGGCTACTGGTACTGCTAGCTGATGTTGTTCCAGCACTTGTTTTGCGTGTGAGCTACCGGTGTTAGTTAGGTGTCAGTTAGTTTTTATGGTTGAAGCACTAGGATGTGAATATTGAATTCAGGTTTGTGACATTAAATTATTACATACAAATGCCATGTGTTCATTTTCCGATAACAATTGTAAGATGACCGTCTTGTAAAAATCTACAGATTACTACGTTCCTTGCAAAAAAAATATTCGAAACCTTTATGAACTTATACAAGTTAATTAACCGAGTACAACATGACGTGGCTAGAAAATGATGTTAATTTCGATTTTTCCCCCCATCAGGTTTCTAAAGTTTCACGTGTATTCCTGAAATTGACGTTAATTAACTTGCACGTAAATTGCTTAACTCGTTCTGATCATTTCGGAATGTATGGATCAAAATATCTAATGCATACAACTATATCTAATACATGGCATACAATAAATTATCAACATGCCATGGCTACAAATATTGTCTGTTTAATTTAAAGAGGTAGTGCATAATGATCGAATCGCATCTTTTATGAAATGTTACTTTTTGTTTCAAGTGATCCAATTGGTGTTCTACCATTTTTCAGTTTTGGTTCTCGTTCTAATAGTACTTGAAAAATATCATTTGTACGGCAAAAATATGGATAACTAATCAAATGTACTATATCAAGAAAAACTGTAAAAGTAAATCTTGTTTGAAAGCGTAGACCGCAGAAACAGTTCCTTTAAAATGACTTTTTCTGGTATAACCTTCACTTTGCATGACGATTTCATGCATTCTATACTATTACTATCATTAATGTATACACGAGTGTATTCTTTTTTACCTTTTCCTTTTGTTTTTTAATTGGACTAGGCCGTTGATCTATGTGCTCCATGTCAGGAATCATTTCGGGTTCATAACTCATTGTATGTCTCTTACTTGGTTCTGAACCGTAAGATTCGACTTGTTTCGGACCACCTAACGCTGTAGAAAGTACACATACCTTTCAAAATCTTACTACACGATAACATTGGGAATAGAAATATTAAACCCGCGTATACCGTGTCTTGTGTCTAAAGTTAGTAAGTATTAAGTGTTTGTACCATCCATGCTGCGAGATGTAGGACGACGGCCGCTTAAAGATCTTTCAAATTGTGGTGGTTGTCTATCTATGGGAGTTTTTTTCGTCTCGTAATGAGTTCTTCCTGAGTATCGGAAGCGAGAACCCAAGTGCGGTATCAGACCCACTTTCTTTACAGGCTCAGGACTCATGAGCCTAAAAAAGAAATTTAATATCTTTACTTTCTCTATATTAGTTCATCTTTAAAGTTTTAAATCTTTATCAGGATAATTATTTACCTGAAGAAAGTATGGTGTTCCACGCACACTTTCCACAATTTCTTTGCAGCCCTATGATTCGCCAGTTTAAACCCAATAGTAGATTCAAACTGCTCGAATTCACCTGGTCTTATCTTTATATAAAAGTTATGCCTTTTATACGAGATTTTCAATATTTTTGGCCAGGCGAACCTATTGATTCTTAATCGATCCCTATAGACAAGAAGGCCCGATGAACATACACCTAACATTATATCGACGCCTTCGGAGTCTTTAGCAGGGTGGAGATCAACCCCATACATTGCTAATTTTTTCGCATTTTCGAGATAATGGAGCTCTGCTTCTGCGGGGGTTTGACCTCTAAAAATTCGCAAAAATTTCTTTACCATTCCAACATCATGTAGACATGTCGCTAAGTAATAGACAAAACTAACTTATGTGTTTTATGCAGATCCATTACTTTTTCCACTAACTCTGGGGTTTGATTGGGGGCAAATTTAAAATCCTTTAAATATGTACGTCCATGCTCCTCCGGATCGTAATCTCCAACTTCTGATTGAACTAAATATGAACCTAGAAGAGCATGTGTTACAAATGAACACGGTAATCGCCCTGTGATGATATCGTTTCTAATCTGAAGACATAGTTGATAACGAGTTATATCTTCTTGTAATTGAGCTGGGTCCGGTGGATAGAACTTCACCTCAAAATTAAATTTCCATGGTTCATCTGCAAAAATGAAATCCAAAGATTCGTCTCACCGATATCAATATAATACCACACGGTATAACACGCGAAAAAAATCCACATACTTTTCACAAGTTTCGCAATTCTTTTGTCCAAATCCAACCAGTTTCGCGCATCATGTCTGTCCTCATAGATAAGACCGAAATAATCTTTCTCCATTAAATTCATACTCTGACATATCATATCGAGTAATTCCTGTCCCTTTGCCTTCCTCTGCAAACAGAATGAAATTTATCACCAGTCTGTCCTACATCAAACACATCAACCATCCGGTTGAACGATAAAAAAAGAAATACTTGATAACTTACATCTATGTGGAAGTCTTTGACAGTTCCATCGAGAAGAGTGATTCTCGCAATAGCTGTTTTCCCTTTGCTCACTGGACTTTTGGTTGGCGAGTTCGTTCCGGTTCCATTCTCTGCCGTTACTTCTGGTGGACCACCAGCGGACTTCTGTTCCTCCGGCATATTTCAGCCCTGTGCTAAGAACGTCCTTCATGTTAATCAATCTTTATAAAATAATTCTCTTAATAAATCTATTTTTTTAATCATCAAGAACAATGACAAATCGCGTGCCGTTTCTGTGTATTCGTGTATAGATCCTGTCTAGACTTGAGGGTGCCATATAGAGAAATAATCAATATTTGCCGGAGCTCTTCCAGTTATACATACATATATATATATATATGTGTGTGTGTGTGTGTGTGTGTGTATATATATACCTCGTCTACAGACCGGCTTCTATCTCATTAACGAAGGAAAACACAAGGAAAAAAAAAGTATCTAACTGTGAAGTACTCCGAACTTGACCGTTCTACGCAGACTATTCCACAGTCGGTACAATCTCAGCGCGATGAAAATAATTTCGCAAACACAGAGACTCGGGGTCTACAAACCTGAAACCCTCCACCCAACTTATCCTCTCTAATGAAAGCTCATCTTTTTCTCATCGTAGTGATTTAACGTTTGCGCATCATCGTCTGGTGTATATCACGTACACACTCCTACGAGATCCTCTGGTTAGTCACTAGAGTAAAAAACCATGCGCATCAGTATGTACTGTTACATCGTAATGATACGTCACGATACTGTTTCGACGACAAAACGTCTCTGCCAGCGTCTAAAGATCAACATGAACGTGTACGGAGCGGAGCGAAATGACAGAGAAAATAGTACTAGGAGCGATTTCGTAAGAAGTTTGAGGACAGGTTGCAGTTACGTGCGACGGAGGTACATGTGTGTGGATTTACCGCAGGTCGTTGGCCCTTCGACAGACGGACAGCATGAACGAGTGTGCACACACGTCCGTGTAAGAGCAATGTGTCTCTGATGCAAAGCCAATAAAGCGGTGATATTTATAATACCGTACTGATCAAAATACACGTGATACATGGTATTATTAGGTACGATACAGTTCCTGTAAAAATACACTGTCTGCTTTATCGCGATCGATCGCCGGGGCAAGCGTGTTCTCTGTGAGACGGATTGGCGGATCCGTTGAAAAGGCTTCAACAGATAGTGTATTAACCCTTTATGCTATAATTACTCTTCTACTTTAACTTTCAACTTTCACTTTTCACTTGACATTTGAAGCATGAAAAAAAAAACGCAGCAATGTGCATAAGGTTCAAATATAGGTTATACGCAAAGATCGTAAATCAAGCGTCACGTGACTGGACAGTTCTAGGGGAAAATAAACGTCATAGCGTCAGGTGGTGACCTCATGGTACGAAAGGTTAAAGCGTTCCTGGAGATTCACGTTCGATTTCTCGAATCGAAATTAGTCGAGAAATAATACAGACCATGTGACCCTGACCGACACACTCCGACGAATCCACTATTCAAATCGACAGCTGTGCAAAGTAGACGCACAGAGCACACAGAGTCTGTCTCCCTTATGCAACGGCGTCGAACAAATAGTAATTCAACCTCAATTGCACAGAATCAGAGCCATACCGGGACGCTGTTTATCGTTGCAAATAGCATTAGCGCGGCTAGTCGGGCACACACGAGCGGAAAAAACGCGTTCGCGTATAATCCCAACGAGGTTTCTGCGATAGTTTCGAGAAGAGCTCGGCCGTGTTGCGAGTCACGGCCGAGCGGGCACAAAGGGAGAAGCTACGTGTGTATCATTAAACGGAAATCACGGTTTAACGTTCAATTCCAACCGAATATCTCGTTACTTTGCCACGCAATCACCCATCCCAACAAAAGATTAATTACATAAATCTGTGCCCGTTGTAATTGAAAAGGAATGAGAAAAAAAACACGGTAAACACCTTTTGTAACTGTACACCCTGGTATGTAAAATAGGACAGACTTCCTGGATTATGTATTTCAGTGTAATTTATTTTTTTTTTTTTTTTTTTTTTTTTTCCAATTATTACAAGTATGAAATATTTCACAGTACATTCAAGATGGCGCATGTATCAAGCAGTGTATTTACTCAACCATCACTTCGTTATTTTATTTAAAAGGTGTTAATTTTTGAAACGCCATCGAACAAGTTAAAACCATGACTCATCCCTTAGGAATTCCTCGACTAAAATTATCCAGAACTGAGGGCAATGCAAATTCATTAGGTAAGCAAATATGTGTGGGTGCAATAGTAATGTACGTAATTGAACAAATCTTATGTATGTAATATCCACGATACAATATGCTAGATACGAGAATTTGGTTCATCTGTGGAGGCATGCAGAAATCACGTTGGAATTTACAGAACGACTCGGTTCGTGGCGTTGCAAGTTCGACAAGCCAGAATGTCGTCATCGCTGAAAGCAGACGTCCTTTGCCCGCGCTCTTTGCTAAACCGATGAAGTAATACCCCGATTAGCCAGGCACGGTGACGCGATAACCAATATTATATACATATATACACCCTCTAACACCATCGATCGAATTAATTCTTCGGCTAAAGTGGATCAACGATATTCTAGTAAATCGCAGAACAGTAAGGCGCTTTCTCTGCTAGTCGCAGACCGCGCTCCAGACCGTGATAGATATCAGAGAAGTATTGGAAACATAAAACGGTGAGCCTGGATCCGCGAGACGCGTAGAAGAAACCGGTCGATCGTCTCGTTTCGCGAACGGGTCAGCTGAAAGTTTAAAAGCCTGGCTGAATGGAGCAAGCAGGTCTGAAAGAATCCGTTCTTTTTTTTACACGGAGTGTCGCGCGAAATCCTTTCAAAAGACGCGTGGGCATCATTTGGTCGTGTGTCAAAGGAGATTATTGTTGAACGAGGGTCGCGTGATCCATGGCACACGCCCACACGACCCCTGGTATATACACGCCTTTGCTACGTGGACAACCTCGTCTCTTCATCCTCTGTACGCATTAAAGAGCCATCGTCTTTAATGAATGAATTCATACCTCTTGAGATACGAGCCGCACAAAACAACCTTCGTATAGCTAGCTGCCGTAGCTTGGCTAATAAAAATAGAAGGTGATCGAAATTCTGACCGGTCTCTCCGAGAGTCAAGTTTATTAAAACCTTCGACGAATCTTGGTGGAAGAAGTGGCCGAATATTATAATTCTCGAAGAGAATAGGAGGAAAAAGAGCGTACGGTTAATCGAATGAATAAATTATCATCGGAATGGCTATGAAATTATATGCATCCGAGCCTTTCACCAAATTAAACACGAATAAAATAGTATATTTTATATTCAGAATGAATAATACTTAATTGTTGTTTTATCGATTTCACTTACGTCTCTTTTGAAAATAGTACTTGCATATGGTTCATGTATTAAAACCCCCTATAATTCCCTTTCAGACAAACTGAATTATTAAAGGGTGAACCAACGAGAAGCTGAAAAGGTCGCTTAATGTATCAGATCGTATGTTTCGCTTAACGGAACCCTACCGGTACCTCAATCTGGAATAAGAGTCACAGCGAGGCGTATGACAAGATATCGAACGTGACACACCACGATGCTCGGTTAACGGATCAACGAAATCCTTATTCCGCGAGCAATCCCCGTGGAAGAGATCACGAAGCGTCGAGGATATGTCGTTCGAAAACGAGCCAGCTCTGCATATGCATGCGCGAGCAGGGTTTATTAAACCAACGGTGGTGGTGGCTGCTCGCATGATCGTACGTGAATGAACACAAGCTGCCTCCGTTCGAGCAAAAGCGGACGCGATCGTTTCGAGCGGCATTTAAATCCCTCGTGTCTAGTCTCCGGTTCGCATGCGACATTGTGTCCTGCGAAATCGATGAAAATCCGCTCTTTAAAGAGACATAAGAGGCTAGAAGCGACCCCCCAGGGAAGGAGGGATATGTTTGATCGATCGACGTTCCTATGGCTCGCGACCGGATACGTGCGAGCTGACAATTTTCCGGCCGGCGAGTAGCAACAAACGAGCGCTGAAATACGGCCAGACTTGGCATGCTCGCGTAACAACATCTACGAAGCATACCTCCACGGAGCTACGGATATGGATACGGCAAGAAAAAAAGGGTCCTCCCCCGTCATCTTGCCTTGAACCACTTCTGAACGAACTGATGTTGCACTTTGCTTATTACAGTACTACCCAGGTTAATGTAACAGCATCTGAGACCGTGAAATTTCTTTCGGAAATATAATTACTCTAAGACGAAAGTTTGTAGATGAATAGGTGAGATTTTTCTAATTGAAACAAGTCCAAACAACCACATTCTGATAATTGTTTAAACAGAATAGTTTAGTTTAAGAGTAACTTGAATTCTTAAGCAAATGGAATACTTTCTAAATTCGAATATTTCGAATTTGATTGGCTGTATTTAAATGATGCTTACTTTAACGGCATTAAGTTGAATTTCAAATTCGAATCGTTTCAATTTGATTGGCTAAATTTAAATAATTCAATTTTTAAAATAATTAAAATAATACAATTTTAAAGTCATAATCTTTAATAACATTATTTATTCTCAATGATCTATACACTTCTAAGATGAAATATAGTTTTGCGCGGTCAGGTGGCTGTTTTAAAACACTGTGCGTCGTCTCGAGTAATTAACGAGACGCGGAAACGATAAAGGGTATAAAAATCGCGTCGGTGGAGAAACACCCGAGAGATGGGGAACAAAGGATCGTGGGCACGCTTTTCATCGATGGGGCGCTAGGGTGGCGGAGATTTTCGTGTGCGTACAGACACTCTTAGATCCCGTTCAACAGTCGATTCATTCGCAAGGGTGTGTACAGGAGGTTGGAACAGTTTTATCGGGCGTCGTGCAGCCGCGTCGTGCCTCGCCGATCGCATGAGCCACCCCACTGAGTTTTTCCTTCTTTTTTTTGTCGTTCAACCCTTTCTTTCATCGCACTCGTAGCGCGGAATTCACAGGTGAATCTTCCTCTGTCGCGATTTTCAATGGTAGAAATCACGTAGGGAAGACAAGAGTAGGGTTCAGAGAAAAAGAGATGAGAAAGAGACACGAAGGGTGACGGGGATTCTTTGATGCGTGAAATTAAAGGATGAAAGCTGTAAAAACGTCGCAGAAAATTTCGCCAACAGGGATTCGTACCGATTATTCCTCTTTCCGTTCCGTTCCGTTTCGTTTCGTTGAGACAGAAAGACGCTTCGTTCCTTTGGTCACTAGTAAACAGTCTCGCGACGATCCTTCAATCGTTTGAGCAAACACCTCGCCTCGTAACTTCGACCGCCGGAATTTGACGGCAAATATGTCCTCGTCGTAAGGAATAACCGGTTCCCGGCTATTATCGGGTCGACGAGCAGTTCGTATTTTAATTAAACGCCGCCCTGCGACACCCTCGCGTATTTTTACACAAGGATACGTTCACGAGTGTTCTCCGAGGGGCTGTATTACGTACGCGTAGGATTAAAACCTTGAGAGCTCGTCAACGACGAAAACGTGTAGTACTACTACGAGTGTGTCACGCACCGCACAGCATGACTCACGTATTTATAATTTATAACAAGTTTGGAGAACACGACTAGCTTCGGGAGCAATTCAATTCTAAGATCGATCCTTCGAAATGCTATCGATGCATTAACGTATTCAGTGAAACGTCAAAAGTATCCAAGTTACATTTATTTCAGTCAATTTCAACGAATAATAAAATATAGGAAGATTGACTTAATTGCACATGATACGAGTCAATGATATCTCGTACAATAAATACGGAATATACTTTTGCATTCATTGTAACAGTTTAGATTAGGTTAAGTTCACCATTGAAATAGTTAGTACTGTTACCCACAGACGAATTCCTAACCTAACCTAATTTGTACAAAACGGACAGTCCGTTTCTCGTAAATTCCACGATTCTACAGATTTTCCCAAAGATAATAGAATTTCCCCGTACAACCGTAAACGAATCATAAACGAGCAACGTTCTTCTTCCCGTTCCACTCCAGCTCGACAGTGATTTCGTGCAATAACAATGGTCACTTTTTACGAGCACTTTTTTTCCACGTAAACTGAGATAATTGGCCCTGTCCTACCGTAACGGCACGATGCTACGACGCAAGTCGGCTCGGCGTTATTTCGCACCGTTTTTTCACGGTGTTTTTTTCGGTCCCAGTGATGCCCCCACGGATCACTACACTTTACCCTATGTTTTCATAAAAACATCTCCGCTTCTACCAGCCGAAGAAACTATACATGTAATATAATATCGTCGTGTCCCTGGTCTCAAGTGATGATTCTTTTTTCCTATTCGTCGGTTGAAACGAAAGTGTCCCGCGAAAATGCGTCTCACGTTCTCTTACGGAGACGATAAAAAATAAACGCTGAAAAGAAAATACGCTCGCTCGTTCGTCAATTAGATGCGCCAAGCGGCCATGACGAAAATAGAAAAGACGAAAAGAAATCACGTATACGTGTTGATTATACGCGTGATTTAATCAAGCACGAGAGTAGAGTACGCTACGATCTGTAAACACGTTCGCAGGAACGTAAACGTGTGGTAACACAGCTCGAGAAAAAACAACGAACGAACGAAGAACACGACGCACTTGAGGTACGTAGTACATCGAGTCTACATGTCATAGAAAGAACTATACACAAGATTGTTCAAACGCATGGTGAATTGCAAATTCTAATCACAGTATAGGGCAGCACGTGACGATCGTAGCCACGCCTTGTTCGCGTTCATCTTCTAAGTTTCTCTCGCGTGGTGGTGCACGCTGATACTTCCGGCGATCACTTTACGGAAGACAGGTACGCGACCATACAATTAAATTTTACGTGAATTAACCGGCCACGCGAAACACGCTCTCACCGCCACACTTATCAGATGCGATATATTTGGCGCTACCACTATCCCAAACGCTATCACGTATTTTTAACTTAACCTGAATAATTCGTGATAAACCTCCCCCACCCCACCCCTTTGTAAACGTTATCGATGAACTAATAAGTGATAAGAACACCGATTACAAAGTATAATGGGCAATACATATTGGTTGATCTGAGAATCACGTGTGATATTTACGTTGGCATGGATAAACAGAGTTGTTCACGTAACGAATAATTCAATCATTGTTGAAAGGTTAATTCTTTAATAGTAATACAGATTCAATACTAATTGCAATTTTCAATAAATAACGAAAATTTCTCTGCTCTGATTCACGGTGGATCTCGACAATGTTACAAATGCAATTAGGGTCTATTCTAATTTCGAGATCAACGAGGTCAGAATATTCGAGCGGTACCCGTGTCATAGTTCATGAGCACGCACAGACACCGTCCCTCTTGTATAGGAGAAAGGCGCGTTACACGGTATGTTGCACCAGCGGGTAAGCTCGGTTCCCCCAAGTTCATTGTAACTTTGGTCATGTCGTGCATCACCTCCTATCAACGCCACACCTCCTCCGTACGCATCGCTAGCGAGTACACTTCCTTGCCCTGGTTAACGGCTATGTGCACCGTTTGTAGCAATAATCCTAAATACACGCTGGAATCTATACTTAGTTTGATCTACGTGTTGCCCGGCCTTCACCGACTCACTGTGTGTACGTGTATAACGTGGAACGATTTTACTATGATGTTTGGAATATTTCTTGGATGTCGTGTTCTCGTTAAATTGCCATCATTTTCGTAACAAATGCCAGGGTAATTTTGTAATACGACGAAGGCCATTTGTGTAACTATGGCTACTCGTATTATGAGAAATAGCGAAAAATAAAAATGTCGAAATGCTTTCATCGATTGCTGGCAATTTCGCCAGAAACGCGACCGAGCTAATACATCTTTCGAAAAAGCTGGCGTCTCCGTGACAAAGTGCATAATTGACCTAATTGTTCGTAACGAGCGTTCGCCGGAAAAATGACGAAATCCCGAAGCTCGGATAAAATTCGTCACAGGTGAAATTATACGGATTTCTCCCCTCTCTGAAAAATAACACGTAGGACATATAAATTCCGAATCATAAATTTTCAGGATTATAGATTTCCGATAACAGATTAAAGACGGACACGTCGAAAGTTTGTCAGATTCGAGGAATCGTTAAAAACATCCTCGTTTAATTAAATGTATATAAGGAGAGAGCGGTTGTGTAGTATCAGACGTGTGTGGCACACTTTGCAAAAGCACTCCTGCCCTCAGGGTCGCACATGAAAGCGGGAACGATACGATAGTGGAAATAAATAGCAGAGAGCACTGTTATTTCAGATTTGTCAATTATTCTCAGAATAGAACCTTCTGATATTTCTTTAACAGTGATATCCAACGGATTCTGCACGTCTCGGTTCTATCACGGATCTCGAGGGAATGGGTGATAGTCTCTCTGACGAAATATGATACACGACACGCAAAGAATGTATTCGCGAGTTCGATCTTGACTGTATTGATTCCACGCCAGTAGGAATTCTCAGATATAACCGTACCTGTGAATAGTTTTGGGTAAACAAACGAATCAACAGACAGTCGATTATATTTCGTTGCAAATTTAAACAATACACTGTCACATGCTACACGGAATTAATATGCATGCAATTAAAGAGAAACAACGATGCGATAGTATGTTGTATAACGGACATTTCTATCAACCGGACCAAGCAGATGTTTCCGTGAATTGTTGATCGAAATATATATTATGATGTATAAATTTTGTACTGTGTACCTATTTACGTCTAATCATTCGAAATATTTTGACTATTGTGTATAATAGTAAATAAAATATTACCTATTGTAAACTTCGACATTGCTATAGGTTATGTGAATAATACGCGTTTCTTTATACAATAATAATATTTGTGCGAAAATTCGAGGTCATTCGTAATGAATTGGTAGGAATGGAACCACAGACTCGCTATAGAAATCTTTAAAATAATAGTAAACATTCATATTTACAAGCGTACATTCTAATCCGTCATTGTTAAATGCAAAGGTGTACAAATATTTCTAATTTCATACGTAGTATCTTGAGAAAATCTAGCATTATTGAAGAGGTCCGATTAAATCTTGTTACATTATGTCACGAAGGTAATAAGTGAAATCCAAAAACTAGTAAACTTACCTATAAGATGTAGACGCGATCTTCTCTTAAATAATGCACCACAACGAGAAAATCGCAGATAAATGTACAACAAAAAAATATACACAGGATTGAAGCACTAATTGTTTTTTCTTTGAATAAGTAACAAAGTATTTCCTACCATAAGCACATAAACAACTCTTGTTCCAATTCCGCCGACGGCTACGAATACGAAACAGGTCCGTCGAATCGCGGGGCGACGCTGGATGCGGCCACGGCCCATACTCGCACCATTTTCAAATAGTCCCCTCACGCATACAAGTATTATCGTCTACATACCTTGATATTTCCAAATTCTGTGCTCGACGAACGGTTACAGTTCATGGAAAATCCAGCTCGGTTAGAGAATATCCGCGATAATCACACACCATTTAATTCAAACCGTAAGCACAGAGAATACGGGACTGCTTTCAATGTTCTTACGCGCGAGTCAATATGGCTGACTACCTAGGAAAATCAGTTTCTCTTATGACGCAATCAAGCGAGTACGCCCCGGTTAAACGCATTTTCTCCACTAGATAGCAGCAGTTGAGCTGTAATTTTAACAGTCGATAAAAAGAAATTCTAACGGTCAATAAAATAAGAGAGACAACATTGATTGCTATTTTTTGATTGCATTGAAGCAATTTTTTTAAATACCTTTGCGTCAGCTAAAGTTTTAAATATGTGCATAGCTTTTTGAAGAAATACATACAGGTTGTGTAATGTTATCGACACAGATAAGGTAGTAATTGATTGTAACAATGGAGTACTACACATGAAAGTGCTAGTTATTGAATGTGAGTTGATTATATATGCGTTTGGCAATTGCACCCAATTCTATTTCATATTACAGTTTGGAGTAGTTGTAAAACGCATTTGCACGATTAATTTAACGATAACGTTATTTAAGTGAATTTCCGCTAATTTATTTTCGGTAAGATTAAATATTTCTAGTCAGGAAACAGTCGTCATTTTCAAAGAAAAATTGCATTGTTTTACAGTCAGCTTCATTTTACATATCACTTAATATTACTCAAGTATTCATAAAAATCTATAACGTAATAAATTTATTCGTCTTTTGTAACATTAACCTATCACTGTACTAGGTTGACAATTCTGCTAAATCTTACAAGTGAATTCTTGCAACGACAGGTTGCCGGGTGTTTCGTTAAGTTGTAGTACGCGATCTCAAAATTCAGACGCAATATTTAACATACTTTATTTTCATAGTGATAAAGATATTAGCATGTCAAATTTATTCCATATTTGCGTATGAAATGGCCTGGTATGGAAGAGTTCACGCAAAAAGTAATCATGAACTTATACAACATCTTAAAAGTAAGTAATATAAATACAATTATTACAACGTTTATATTGTTCTTATTCATTTTAAGCTATATTTATCAAAAAATAAAATAATAGCACAGATATCTAAAGTATTGTTATATTATATTATCATTTTATACTTTAGATATTAAAAAACAAAATATAATCTTGTTATTCTAGAATCAAGAATAATTAAATCTGATAGAGTTTATGAAGCAATGTCTGCTGTAGACAGAGGAAACTATACCAATCCTAGTTATGCTTATATAGATGCTGCACAGGCAATTGGTTATGGTGCTACTATAAGTGCTCCTCATATGGTATATATCTGAAATTATAGTCCAACATGCTTGTATCATGGAATTTAATAAATTAAATATTTTCAGCATGCATATGCTTTGGAAGCACTTAAAGACAAATTACATGGTAATGCAAGAGCATTGGATGTTGGTTCTGGTTCTGGATATTTAACAGCATGTATGGCAGTTCTGGTAGGACCAAATGGATTGGTCATAGGTATCGATCATATTCCTGAACTTAAAGCATTTGCTATGGAAAACATTCGAACAGATAACCCAGAACTTCTTGAAAGTGGTCGTGTTCAATTAGTTGGTAATTATCTTTTAAAAGCTTTGCATATATATTTAATGTCTTTTTTTTATATAAAAAATATACAATATTTTAGTTGGAGATGGAAGATTAGGATATCCAGAAAAAGCACCATATGATGTTATTCATGTAGGAGCTGCTGCTAAAGAATTGCCAGAAGCTGTAAATAAAATTTTTAATCAATTGATAGTATATAGTACAAAAATTTATTGTATTCACAGAAATATTTTTTATGTAGTTAATTGATCAATTAGCTCCTGGAGGACGTATGGTATTACCACTGGGTCCAGAAAATTCAGATCAGACATTTGTACAGTTTGATAAAGCAATGGATGGGTCAATCAAGAAAAAATCTCTTTCAAATGTTATATTTGTTCCATTGACTAGTAAAGATAAACAGTATGCTTCATCAGATGCATGCAAGCTTCAATAAATGAGCACTTTTTTGTGTAAATTAAACACTAAAGGAAGCATGTTTTAGTTATATATCCTGTAATATATACGTGAATATTGGAAAGTTATTTTAAACCTTTAAAAAAAGACAAGAAATATAAATTCTAGTATACTTCAACTGTATATTTTAGTACATTTTAGTTGTATATTATATATTTCTAGTCACAGAAATCCATAAAACATTGAAACTATTTAATTAGTATAACATTTATCTCTTTTAGAGAGGTATACTACTTAGTTTAAAAATTTTAACAGTTCATAAACATTGGAATACACTGTGTTCTTTTATTATTAATACATAAAATTAAATACAAACTATTCTTGTATAATTTGTGCTATATGCCTAATTAGTTTTGATAAAAGTTGAAACAATTATCTTAGTTTTATTATACTCTGATTCCTTAAAAATAAATACATTATTTATGTATAATGACTAGAATTATCTTTTCATATAACCAGTTCATTCTTTCCATGTTACCATGTATTTCAAATCTATTACGCATAATTTAATGTACAGTTTTTTCCATTTTATGCATAAAACATTTTATATACTCATGGAATGGGCAAATTTCATTACGTAAATATTTAAAGAAACACTTATAAAATAATTTACTATAATGTATCAAACATTACATTCATAAACTTCGTCCTGAAGTACAAAATAAATGTATTCATTTAAACCAGCCATACTCAACCTTTTTTCTTCCTGGGCCACATACATATGTTTGCTACGTAACGAGGGCCGTAACTTAGTACAGCTTATATCTTCGTTTACATCTTGGTATTATGTAAATTAAATCATCTTTTACTTACAAACTCTAACTGTGTCTGTGTGTGTTTCGGGCCGCACACACAATCTTGGCGGGCCGCATACGGCTCGCGGCCCGCTGGGAGAGTATGGCTGATTTAAACAGTTGGACATTATGTTTTGTGGTCCTATTTCATTTTACATATATAGTGGGCAGTGAGATGTACGCTTATATTGTTCCGATATTTCCTTGGTTAAACAACAATAATTAAAGTGTTTTAACCATAAGTAAACTAAGTGCAGCACCTGATGTTAATCCCATGCCAAGGAAAGCTCCTATCATTGCAGATGCTATTTCCTTCTCTTGGGAATCTACAACCCTATTAAAATCTTTTAGTTTAAAAGTAATAAAAATGAGTTAATGCATGTATCACTGAAGTACTTACATAGGAGTTAAAATAAATGTTAAATTGCACAAATAACCATTACTGATGGCAAATAGAATAGTTAATAAAATATAATAGAAGTCGTTATAGATATAAACGGGAAGATGATGTCTGGGCTGTGCATTACAAAATATAAGAGCTGGTATAAAGATGACTCTCGTTAAACTTAAAAGTATAACTTGCCATGGTTTGTTTTTTGGCTAAAATATTAAATTATTTTAATTTTTCTTTAATAGTAAAAAAAAGTATATAATTTTAAATACTTCTTATGCATACCCATTGAAACATGCCTGACAATAATCTTCCAGCATAATCACCAGAACTAAAAATTAAGTAAGTCACCACAGGTACAAAGTAGATATCTGTAAAATATAGAAGTTATAAACACTTTATAATTACATAAAATTTAACTACAAAACTTACCATTCCATGCATAACCTTTGCCTTTATTTTGACTTTCCACTAGTACAGTAATTGCTGGGTATACCGAAACAGTTATAAAAAATACTAAAAATATACTAATACCATAATGCCAAATTCTTTTAATAATACGCGTATAAGATACTGTAGTTCCTTGTGGGAAAGTTACTTCTCCAGTTATTGAAAAATCTGCTTCATTGTTAGTCAAGTTTTCAGACATATGATACTTAAAAAATGTCTAAAAGAGAAAATATAAATGCTATTCATATCATACTGTAGTTTAATTCCTGCATTCAATGTACAATAGATTACATGTTATTTGTCTATGTTATTATCATAAGCTTCTTATAAAACACTTGTATGATGATGAATATCATTATTGTATACTTATTAAAATGCTGAATTACTCACTGCTTTTTCTAAAATGATGTAAGCAATTAAAGATAGAAACAATATAACATCTCCAATGATAAAATAAAGTAAGCCTGAAAGTACAGGACTAGCACCAATCCAAAGAGAACATATTTCTGCTATAGCAGTAAAAATTCCTCCAAGAGCTTGACCACTTAACATAGCAGTTATGTATTTTGGAGAAAATCGTCCAACAATACCCATTAAACTTCCTCCAAAGATTGCACTTGTACCTACAAAAATATCTCACTGAGTGATATCATTTAATAATAAGAGTATTCAATAGATTTTCAAGTTTTACATATGTACCATTTACAATTGCTACTGTGGTTAAAGTAATTATTGAAAATATTCCTTGCCCTAAAAATAAAATTAACATTTCACTTTTGAGATAAAATGCACAATTTGAATCTAATTATTTTTATTTGTATAACTTACACTTATCTGTATTTATTTCAACAAATGCAGTTGTTAAAATAAAAAATAATAGTATTGTACACTGAGAACCCACCATCCTCACTCTCAGTGGAATTCTGTTATAATATTTTTTATGCAATGTATTATTTTTTTAGTTTATTTCTTACTTCATAATTAGAAGTGTACATTTTACTTACCGTTTACTAATAAATGCATTTATAATTAAGAAAAATGTATTTGGTACTGCACTTGCTACATTTAAGTATGATATGAAACTAGCTTGGAGATCAGTTGTTTTTTCCAAATTTTCTACATGAGTATAATTAACACTTTCTCGTGTAAAATTGTTATGTACTTCTCTAAATTTATACATCCAGTACTATAAAATAAATCAAATCAATACATATGTATACTAATAATAACACTCATTAATAAGGTAATGTCTATTACTTACATCATCAGCCGTAATGAAAAAGCTCCAAGGAATTAATGTATTTATACCAAGCAAATAAAAAACAATATATGCAAGATTATACCTAAATAACAAAATAATAGGAAGAATTGTGCAAATTTTTTAAAAAATTATAAATGAAATTAGAAACATGTAATATATACTTATAATAAACAAACTATTTTAAACAGATATTACTTGTCACGAGGTTCATATTGTTTTAAAAATGGTTTTTCATCTGGAACAGAAACATTTGGATCATCAACTTCAGTTTCTAAATCATCTTCAAATTCACTATCTGATAAACCTCCAAGTAAAGGTCTTCTATTGATAGAATATGCCATTATGAAGCTGTAAAAAATTGATAAAATCATTAACATTATATGTTCCATATGTAATCTGATAAGGTATACAGATCTACTATAAAGTTACATATTTAGCAAATATAAAATTAAATGAAATTTTTACTTACAGTATTATATAAAAAATTGCCTAAAAAGTCGTCACTTGATAAATTATGTGCATTTAAAACAATAATTATTTACATCTTAATAGATAATCAATGCAAATTTAAAAAAAAATTTTACACATGTCAAAGACCATGTTTAGCAAGCTGCGTCCGTCAAACAATTGATAATATTTTCAACACATTACTGTTTTAAAGTCTGGAAAGACTCAACGTCATATATATAAGTCATTTTCTTGGCCACCTGTGACTAAGCACAGATATGAAACCAAATACCATTACATTCTATTATAATAATCCTAATGCACTCCTTTCTCCATTATTCGTTTACATCCACAGATGCAAAAACAGCTGGTATGTACATACAGTACGCAAATTACTCATGACGCGTCAGTGCAATGACGTACAGCTAAAACAATACGGTACATCGTGTGAAAATTTACTATTTATAAATAAGAATAAATTGTAAGCTTAATACTACATTTTTTTACTAGTAAGCACTCACTTTTACATAATGTATAGTAAGTAGTAATTTAAGCAATTAAATGCAATGCGTTATTTATTTTTAATAATCGTGTACGCCATATGCATGTATCGAGATACTATATAGATCTCACCATTGATTAGACAAAAAGAAGAGGTTCAAGTCCAATGTTATTCGAGTGTACAAACTAAAGACAGTTGTGCGGGCAAGTGTACATCGGTAGATTTTACGTAGATTATATATCTAAAAAATCATATTCTACGACTAATGTATTGCAGATTTATTATTTGTATATTAATGTAGTATGTTTAGTAAGTTCGATGAGTAGTAAATGCGATGTTTATCGCATTTCAACTCGTAAACTTTAATATAATATGAACGTGTGATAAAATTACGATAAACTGCAAGAATGTATTGTGCATTAAGAAGATGGTATACTAATTTACTTGATTAAATCTTCAAATTGTAATGCGGTAATACTGTTTTTAAATGAACTGTTTATAATAGTTTTTGCAGGAAAGATGCAGTAAGAGCTTTGAGTATGGGTGAAATATCTACTGCACTTCGACCTTTTTATTTTACCGTGCACCCCGATCTTTTTGGACAATACCCTACTCAAAGAGTAAGTGTATTTGAGTTTATAATGATATAATTTTAACATAGTTTATAATGGCACAGCTTATAAAAGTTGTATCAAATGTGTTAATGATTTATATCGATCACGTGTCGACAACGCAGTTTATTATTTGATTGTAGTTAAGATTATTTATAGAACAAAGGAAGAATAATGATTGCCATATATATTGGTATTCATATAATGTTCATATATAAATAAATATTGTAGTATGAAAGGCATTACTAGTAGTTGTCTGCTATTCATAAAATAATACCTCAAATATATATTAAATATAATTTTTTTTATGATTTGGAATGTTTCAGACAGTAAATGAAAATTCACTGAAACAATTAAGTTCCATTATAGAAAATTTACAGCAACAAAGACCAGTGAGGCCTACCACTTTACCATTCTATTTACGCTCAAAAGATGAAAAAGAACTCAAGGCTGGAAAATTTACATTAGTACAAATACAGTTGAAAGAAAAGGATATAAAACAAACTATACTCTCTATTCTGAAGACATGTGACTTACCAACAACATTTGTGGATCAAATTGAAGAACAAAAACCACCAGAGAGTATAAGGTTTAAATCAAAATATTGGCAAAGGAGAGGACCTGGAGAAGATATAGATTTTTCAGAATTAGAAGATGATCCTATTTATGCATCTATTTTAATGAAAAGAAAGATTAATATAGAACCAGACACTCTTAAGTAAGGCTATTATTAATGTTTATTCCTTAAGTAATTACACAGTGTTAAATTTAAACTTATTACTGTTATTTAGGGCATATTTAGACAAACATATTACTGAAGTACATGTGAAATTAGAAGCCTGTAGACCAATGCGAGAGGAAGTACAAAAATTAGAAAAAATACTATGTTCTGAACTAGGTTTAAAAAATATTGTATGGGATTGTGGATGGAATATAGCTCATTACAGAGGATGTTTATTAGCCTTTAAAGCATTGGCTGAACATCATCCTACATCAATGGAAGTGTTAAAAAATAGAACACTTGTCTTTGCTAATGATACAGGCATTAGTGTAGAAGGGAATGTTATGTTAAATTCAGGTGAAGTTAGGCACAATTGGCTTGATGTAAGGATAAATTATTAAATTTATATATTTATTAAACGTTTCACCTTGTTAAATAATTAACTATTTTTCAGTTAATAAAAAATATTCAGAAATATGATGTGGTATTGTTAAGATTACCAGCTTTTGAGAAGGCAGTTTCACAAGTTCTTCTTGACATTAAAGTTGGTCGACGGTGCGTAATACAACACATTAATTGAGTGACGGTAAGGCTCAGGGTACTCTATATGTGCAGGAAATTCATGCCGAAAGTAATGGTTAGCCAGTATGAACGTCAGCTTCGACAACTTACCACAACCCTCTCAGATTATCGAGGACGACGAAATTATCCGAAAGTATGGCCGGTCGATTTGTCTTCTTATGAAATAGTAATCGAAGCGTTAGTATTACCTATTGTATTTATTATCTCATATTTTTTTTTCAGTTCGTTTGTAGGTATGATACAAATATAAATGGTTTAGTCAATTTGTAATTACAATGTAATATAAATTTTATAAAAAATATGAATAACAAATTGATTTTTAATTTCAGTGAAGCAGGTCCCTTAATGCTCTCTCCTACTGGACAATTTATAGTTCCATCTTCATGTCCAAGTTTTCTTCTAGTGAACTTTATTACTGAAAACTTAGAAGAAGCCACTAAGAGATTACATCATTATAACAAGTAAGATCATCTTATAATCTAGCTTAAAAAGTGCATACATTATTTTATGTTATTTTGTTTTAGCATAAAATATGTAGAACGCGAACTTCATGATAAAGTTGTACAGGAATTGGGTTTGATTGTTCTAAATAAGGATGACAGTATCACTCCAGATTTAATGATACAATGCTGTGAACGCTTATTACTTCATAAAAACGTTTTATCTCCTTTATTAAATGAAGTTATGCTTTGGGTGACACATTATTACTCTGTTATGAGTGATGGTGTATTATGTATACCATGGGATTGGAAACTTTAAATTCCAGTGTAAAATATTTTGTAGTATTTTCTAGTTATTCTCTATCTTTATACCAATTACTAGAATAACTATACTAATAGATTACGTAAATTACAATTAATTAATAATGATTATTATATAGGTTATACATGTGATACCGAAATTATCGACATTAAATTATTTTTCTGATACTTTTAGATATACATAGGATAAAATGTAATTTATGAAACAGCACAAAGCAAATAACCTTTTTTTATTATGCTTTGTTAATGCAATTAGTGTGAATAACTCATTGTACCTTGTAAACAATATTTGCATGTTAACAGTTATTACTACACGATTAATCTTAATACATTGTATATGAATTTTGAACTTGAACAAATAATAAGAAAAATATTTTTTAAAAACACGTAATACAAATAACGCATGTAGAGGAATAAAAAGATTCTAAAATTTTTTAATTTATGTTAAAATTTACTAAAAGTCCTTTTACATGATACCTTATGTGCAGTTACTCAATGGTATTTGAATTGTGCTATAGTTTACAAAGCTGAATAAGGTTATGTACGCAAGTGTATCCGGACTTGCGCATAAATCTGACATTGCAAAGTGCGTATTTCTACCAATCAGTCGTTGTGGGGCGAGGCTGTTATTTAGAAGCTTTCTGATTTAATACAAAACTAACAAGATGGCTGTCGCGTTGTTATGACAAGAGATACGTCAAATTCATAATATTTCGCAAAGTATACTGGGCCGGCGTTTATGGTATCTCTCAATTTCCTTGCAATAATTAAAAACTGTTCCTGACTCCTTGATGTACACACAAACAATAAAAATGCCGGTCCAGAAGGATTCAAATATTGTGAAAATTGCTGTTCAAATGACTGAACAAGTGGCACAACTTATTGAATTTAATCAAAAACATCCACTTACTGGAATTATTCAGGTATTTAAAAGCGAAGTTTAATTTTCTATTCTTAAAATTCCGTTCCTATATTTTTTTTAAATTAGAACAGATTTAAAAAATTAATTTCCATATTATATTTAATGTTTGTCAGGAACTGTGCAATGGGTGGGGTCTTTCTGATCCTGAATCATATTCATTACAATTTTCTGAAAATAATCAAAATTATATCACAGAAAAAAATCGCAATGAAGTAAAAAATGGTAGTATTTTAAGACTAGAGTTTTCTCCTTCTAAAACAGCATGTGATATTTTAACAAAATTGAACAATGGGGCTATGGATGAAAAAGCTGCAGCTTTGCAAAAATTAAGCACTCTTAGCACAGATATGACATTTGCATTGGAATTTATTAATAAGCAAGGTTTAGCTTTAATTATATCACAGGTATTTGAACATTTTTATTTTATTTTTGTTTTGTTCTTTTTCATTTGTTTTTACTAATATATACTTTCATAGGTTGAAGGTGGAAAGTATAAAGGAAATGCACTTGCATATTCACTTCAATCATTTGTGGAACTTATGGATCATGGAATTGTTTCATGGGATATATTAGAAACACCTTTTATTAATAAAGTAGCAAGCTATGTAAACAATCTGGCTACAAACCAAGATACTATTATTGTTGAAGCCTCACTTAGCATTCTTGAAAATATAGTATTGAATTCTTCAGGAAAATATGAACAAGTTGAAAAAGAAGTAACCTTTCCCAATTTAGTGATGCATTTACAAAGTATGCGTCCACAAATGCAACAAAATGCAATAGCTCTAATGAATGCCTTATTTCTAAAGGCTGATTTGTCTAAACGTAGAGCTGTTGCTGCAACCCTCCAATCTAAGCAAGTTAGACATGTGTTTTTGACACAAATTATACAGTCTGTTGGTCCGGTATGAGATACTATATCTACATTTTTTTCATACAATAAGTCAAAATTTATCATATAATTAAATATTAATATAGGTTGGTGCAGAAATGGCACACCAATTGTATGTTTTACAAACATTAATGTTAAGTTTGTTGGAGCAACGTATGATGACAAAAATGGACCCACAAGACCAAGATGCACATGACAAAATTAAAGAACTTAGAAAAATTGCTTTTGATACAGAAGGAGCTATAAGTGGAGATGTCACAGCTCGAAAACAAGGTCTTTTTGCTAAAGATTATAAAAAATTGGGTTTTAAATATGACATCAATCCTGCTCTTGATTTTACTGAAACTCCACCAGGCATGCTTGCCCTTGATTGCATGGTTTATTTTGCACGTAATCATACTGAAGGCTACACTAAAGTTGTTCTAGAAAATTCTTGCAGAGCAGATGAACATGAATGTCCTTTTGGTAGGACAAGTGTGGAACTTGTTAAATTACTTTGTGAAGTAAGTACATAAAACTTAGTACAAAGTGGTTTGAATAAATTCAGCTTATTAAATTTGTTTAGGTATTACATATTGGAGAAGCACCTAGTGAACAAGGACAATTGTATCACCCTATGTTTTTTACACATGATCATCCATTTGAAGAATTCTATTGTGTATGCATAGTTCTTTTAAATAAGACCTGGAAGGAGATGAGAGCCACCACTGAAGATTTTGTAAAAGTGTTTTCTGTTGTAAGAGAACAGATCACTAGAGCACTTCAATGTAAACCTACAGGGTTAGATAAATTTAAAATTAAATTACAACAATTAACATATTCAACAATTACTAACCTCTGGCAACAAGAAAGAACTACTAGAGAAGAATGGGAAAGTCATGCAAGACCAATTGTTGAACTTAGAGAACAAATTACACCTGAAATTTTGGAACTTATTCAACAACAACGTTTAGGCTTTTTAGTAGAAGGCACAAGATTTATGAAATACAGTGCCAGGGGACAGGTATTTATTTTTATTTTATAGAAAGTTATAATTAAAAAGATAATTTTTCAGAACTTTATACTTATAACAAACGTTATATTATTCATAGAGAATCAAGGATAAATTTTGGTATGTTCGACTTTCGCCAAATCACAAAGTATTTCATTATGGTGACTGTGATGACAAGTCGGTACCAACAATTGACGAACTTCCTACAAAATTAGCTGTTGTTGAAATCCGGGGTTTATTGACTGGTAGAGAATGTCCGCATATGAAAGATTTACAGAGACGAAAAAATACACATCAGTTAGTGTTCTCTTTAATGTTAGATTCTGTAGAAGTTTCAAGTTTAGATTTTGTTGCTCCTGAAGAAAAAGTTTTTGATTATTGGACTGATGGTATTAACGCTTTACTTGGTATGTAATAACGTTATTCACGAGTTGCATGATTTTGTCTTCAGATTGAAAGAAAGAAATTTTATTTACAGGTAATGAAATGACTAGTAAGGAGGCGAAAGCCGATTTGGAAACATTATTATCTATGGATATTAAATTGAAACTTTTAGATGCAGAAGGAATCGATATTCCTCAAGATCCGCCTGTTATTCCTGACCCTCCACCAAATTACGATTTTTGCTACGAGTTAAAGTAAGAATTTCGTTTTGTGTTCAGTAATTGTTGTAGTAATTTAATACGAGATAGATTGATAAGGTAACACTTAGATATTTATCAAAGCGAAAACTAAGTTTTATTCTAAGCTACAAATTTTATACAAACAAATAATTTTTAGCATTTTTATTAGTATTGTTTTTTATACAGTACACAGAACTTTTAAGTATGACTTTTAAGTATACACTGAAACATATGGGTATTTTAATTATATGAAAAAACTCAGTATATTTTACCAAAGATACGTTTTACATTTTACATTTTAGACATACAAATTATATACAGCATTTTTGAAATTATTTGTATATATGAATTTGATATTTGCATAAGCATATACTCCTTTTTATATGATAATCGTAGTGGGAATCAAGAAATTAATATTATACACGATTCCTCTAGCAATTATTTTAATTAATGGATTGTAATCGTGATGAAACTAGCATTATTTGAAATCATGTTTAATAGAAGTTTTGTAGAAATTATAATATTAAAGGTATAATAAAATTTAAAATATAAGTTAATAAATTATTTATTGAAACATGTTTTGTATTTAATACCATGAGTAAAAAGCCATAATATTAGAAGCAATAACCGTGAAGATTGTGTGCAGGTACATATGTTACAGTCATTAAAGACATAATGACTTAATCAATGACATTTTTACTTTCTCAGAGGTGCAATATTACTGAAAAGTAGTAATCACAATTTATTATAGTTCACATGATATCTTCTGAAAGTATTTGGTAGTTCTGAGGATCGTTTGCTTGATGATTTGGAGGACAGAGAAAAAATTCAATAAAATTAAGGACAGGACCTCTGTTAAATGGGTTCAAATATCTTCCTTTTTTGTCTCTTAAATATGAGTATCGTTTGTAATTAAACATTTCATTTGTAGTCAAGTTCATACATGCATGCAATACCTGTATAAAAAAGCAGACTGTAGCAAATCTGAAAAAGTATCGCATTCCTTATTAACAATTAATTATTTTTTATATTTACCGAAGTACATGTCAAAATCCATCCAAGTCCACAGAATACTAATGCTTCTAGTACACCTAATACATACAGTAATTGGATTCCTTCAATTGCCATACAGTAGCAAGCAAAATAAATTGTAAATGAACAGTTTATAGCTACACACATAACAAAAAGAAAGAACCACATCCTGTAATGAAAATTGATTAGTAATAATTATTATCTGTGTAAAGAATATTGAATTGTGTACATAATTGAATATAAATTATGTTGTAATTTACCTATTTCTCAAACCTACGCAATTATATATAAATGGACAGTGGTGATCAAAATATGTAACACATCTATTGCAGATTCTGCAATGTTTAGCTCTCAAAGGTCTAAAACATCTACAACTATGACATAATCGAGATAATAATACGTTTCTTTTTTTCCATTTATCAAAATATGGAATCTAGAAATGAAAAATATTTCATGAAGTCATGATGTGTTACTTTATAGAAAATAATAAAATTATAAAATAATACTTGTTTAATTGCTCTATAGTAGGTTTCACTATTTTGTGGTACATAGCCAGGATCTCTTCTGTTTGCTACAATCCATGAGATCCACATAACAATATTCCAATAAATAAAACAGTAGTGACTGCCACGTAAAAGATTCCATGTTAATGGAATACATTTCAATAAATACATTGGATATCCCCAAAGGAGGACAGAAACCATAAATAATAATATAGGACCTTTACTATTTCCAGCTCCACCAAATAGTAATGCCCTTAAAAGAAAGAAAAATATAAAAATATTAATGAATACCAAATTTTGGAAAATTTTATATAAAAGTATAAACCATAATTCGTTGATGGGTGGAATCCATCTGGCCCGCCGCTTTTGTTCAGCTTGTAATATTCTCACAATCTCTGAATGTCTATGACTTTTTGCCAATTGTAACGGTGTTTTACCATTTTTATCACGAGGTTCTAGTTCAATTTTGCTCTTTTCGCACAATATTTTAACGCAACTGACATTTCCAGAGAGACATGCTAAATGTAGCGGAGTAGATCCAAAGTAATCTGGTTTCTGTAGGTCTACTCCACTATACATAAGTAATCTTATTAACTCTGCATGGCCTTTATATGCAGCCCAATGAAGAGCTGTATCACCATTTATATCTGTTAGATGTCCTAGTGCACCAGATCCTAATAAAAATGCTGCTGTTGCAAATTTTCCAAACATGCAAGCAGTCATTAGAGGTGTTAAACCTTTGAAATCTGCTGCATTAACAGCAACACCTGCCTAAAAACCAATGAAGATAATGAAAGAATAAAGTATGTTACAACTTTATACATATTATGTACATTGTTAGCTTAAGTACCTTTAATAATAACTGAACTATCGCACTATGACCTTTTCGACAAGCCCAATGTATCGGTCTTGGCCCCTGAGTTCCAAGACAAGAAAGGTCAACTGGTCCATTACGTTCTATTAAGTATCTCATTACCTGTAATATAACATGAAGTTTTTTGGTTAAATAAAAAAAAAAGACGTTTTCCCCATAATAAAATTAATTATAAAAACTAACTTCAATATTTCCATCCAAAGCAGCCCAATGGGCGGGAGTATATCCCCATTCATCCCTCGCGCTTAATACACTTAAACCATTCTTTTCTACAAGTTCGTCCACAGCACCAATTTCACTGAAAGAATATTTAAATTATTATCATTATTTTTCAGTTTATTGATGTAAATAAAACCGTAATAAAAAAAATGAATACTGTGCAATGCAAATACCCAGATCTAAGAAGCTCAAAAATTCGTTTCGTTTCATCTGATGGTGTTTGACCTGGAGCAGTTTCATCGGCGTATATGTTATCGTCGGGACCATTTCTTGGTTGTAAATCAGTACCTTTAGCTGGTCCATGATTTTGATGAGCAGTGCTAGAAATTGGAGTGTTTGGTAGATGCCCGACCATGTCGGGATCGGGACTTAATTCCCATACGGATCTCGCTGCACCGGGCCCTAAAGTTTGAATTTAAATTTGAAAATTTGAATTTATATTTAAAATTTGTTATTTAAATCAGAAAACTTGAATTTAAATTCAAAATTTCGAATTTAAATCTATATAATTAAAGATGGTTTATTTAATTACTTCGAGCAACTGATAGTAAACTATTTTTTACCCGCCATAAATTTGAAGCTCATTGTCAGCAGAATTTTCAAAGCCATTACATTTTGTATTTGACGTATTATTTTTTGTATCCTATGTTTAACCAGGTTTAACTTTCCAATTGCTGCATTATGATTTCTGCTAGATTTTTAAACAACAAAAATTTCTATCTTAGCTTACTTTACAAAGCGTTGCGAGTTCCGGATTTACACGTTCGTGTTCGGAAGGTGTCCTAAAGGATGCGCCCTGTACAGAGGTTGTCCCACCTTCCGGAACGGTTAGTCACAAGGAAATATTTGGTCCAACCATGTTTTCTAATGTTCTTCTTGTTATGCACCTTTTCCTTCAACGTGATAAATTTTAGAACAATACCTTCGTTATGCAGCAACGTGTCAAGTTAGAAACAGCAATGTCCGCATTTCCGAATGAGACCATCGTTATGTGATATTGCGCATTCAAATCAATATCGTAGTTGAATGAACGCCTGCGTACTGATAACATAAAGACCGCGAAACTTTTACTGTTATATTTTTTAAATATTTTCAAAAAATTACAATAAGTTAAACTTATGATGAATGTTAATATTTAACTGTTAAATTTTTACAATATAACGATATTCGATGGATATTGATTTAAATACACAAATAATATGCTTTTTTAAAGATTTTTAATAATTTAAAAAATGAACATGTTTCTTCGTGTTTAAATATATATCGTAACCAGATGGCGTCGCGTAAACTTACTTTGATATACAAAGTGTGCTTCGCGTTTTAAGAGTTATTTGTTATTTCGAATGAAATTTCGTTGTGATGTTTAAAATATTGCTAGTTTATTAATGTGATTTAATAATGGCTCCGACAATTCAGACAAATGGCAGTACAACTGAAAGGGACAAACGTACAGCCAGGCCAGCAGAGAAAAGGTAAAAATTTGATTATAACCTGTAGTTTCTACTACTATAACGGTTAATGCTTTTCTTTTATTTTTATTATAGGTCTGAGTTAATATGCAGAGTTAAATATTGCAATACATTACCAGATATACCATTTGATCCTAAATTTATTACATATCCTTTTGAATCAACACGGTAAGTTTCACATGTTTAAATATTAATAATACTTTGAATAATGTATAACTGAGCAATATTCATAGGTTCATTCAATATAATCCAACTTCACTGGAACGTAATTATAAATATGAAGTACTGACAGAACATGATTTAGGTGTAGAGATTGACCTTATAAATAAAGATACATATGCTGGAGATGTTAATGCTCAGTTAGATCCTGCTGATGAAAAACTTTTGGAAGAAGATGTTCTCACTCCACAAGATTCCAAAAGATCTAGACATCATGCCAGAAGTGTATCTTGGCTCAGACGTACTGAATACATTTCCACAGAACAAACCAGATTTCAACCACAGACTGTGGATAAAGTTGAAGCCAAAGTTGGTTACAGCATCAAAAAGAATTTCAAGGAAGAAACATTATATATGGACCGTGAAAGTCAAATAAAAGCTATTGAAAAAACATTTGAGGATAATAAGAAATCAATTGAAAGACATTACAGTAAACCAAATGTAGTACCTGTAGAAATTTTGCCAGTATTTCCAGATTTCAAGGTATTGTAAAAGTTACTACAGCAGTTTTATGTAACATAAATATTTTAATTGCTTTCTTACATTTTTTATCGACTTGTTGCAGCTATGGAAATATCCTTGTGCACAAGTCATATTTGATTCTGATCCAGCTCCAACTGGACGTTCTGTGCCAGCTCAAATTGAAGAAATGTCACAAGCTATGATTCGGTAAATTTATAATTTGTATATTTTGTTGTTTGTTAGTATTTGATCAAATATTATAATATATATATTGCTCTAGGGGTGTGATGGATGAAAGTGGTGAACAGTTTGTAGCATACTTTTTGCCCTTAGAAGAAACTTTAGAAAAACGTAGAAGAGATTTTACTGCTGGTATTGACTATGCAGATGATGAAGAATATGAATATAAAATGGCTAGAGAATATAATTGGAATGTTAAAAGTAAAGCTTCAAAGGGATATGAAGAAAATTATTTCCTTGTCATAAGACAAGAAGGGGTATGTTTTATATTGAAATAATAAATGATATAAAACATATAAGATGTACATAATTTTATTATTTACATTACAGGTATATTATAATGAACTTGAAACGCGAGTACGTCTTAGTAAACGTCGTCAAAAGGCTGGGCAACCAGCAAATAATACGAGGTTGATAGTGAGACATCGGCCACTTAACGCCAATGAATTTAAAATGCAAAGATACAGAGAAAAGCAATTGGAACCACCAGGAGAAGAAGATGAAGATGAGGAAGAAGAAGAAGAAGAAGAAGAAGAGGAAGAGCCTCAACAAGAAGCTGAGAAAACAGAAGAAAGAGGAGGTCAGTAATAAATTATTATGAAGTTCCAATATTTTGTACTTATTTATAATTTATTTCTATTTTAGAAGGTTCCGAAAACGAAGCAGAATCCAGAGCATCATCAAGAGCATCTTCGCGAGCATCTAGTAGAAAATCCCGTTCTCGTTCAAAATCTGGTTCTAGATCAAAATCTCGATCTGCGTCACCATCAAAATCCAGATCTGCTTCCCGTTCACGTTCCGAATCACAATCCCCCTCCAGATCACATAGCAAGTCGAGATCAAGGTCTGGTACTCCACAATCTAGAAACTCTTCTAAATCAAGATCACGGTCAAAGTCAGCTTCAAGGTCTCGCTCTAGATCTCCAGCTAAGTCTCGATCTGGATCTGTATCAAGTTCAAAATCTAGATCAAAATCGAGATCTCCTTCAAGGTCAAGATCAGCTAGTGGTAGTGGTAGTGGATCTGGTAGTGGCAGTGGCGAAAGTGGTTCAGAGAGTGAATAAATAATAAAAACTTTCCAATTTTTATAGCAGTATTTACTAAAATGATCATACATTCTTTAAGATCAATTATAGTTCGTTACATTTTGGAAATGTTCAACCATTGTATGTATATAATGATTATCATGAATGTAAAGAATAGTACGACGAGAGCCAAACGTTGATTTTAATAAAAAAAAAAGATCGATAAAGAAGGTTACTTTTGTTGAGAATCGTTACGTTTAGTATAAAAGAATGCCGGTAGAGCGCAGTTCATGTTCACTTGCGTATCACCTGCACACCACTTTTTAAATAGCATTGCATCATCTACGTGACGTATCTGAATTGTGTTTTACCGTGACACGCATGGTACGTTAATAGCGAAAGAAGTGTCAATTTTGAAGTTTTCACAGTAACATTAAATCAAGGATACAAGGATTTGTACGAACCATGAAAGGTAAGTAAAAATTGACATGCACGAAACGCGACATCTTTCATCACATGGTATTGTCTTGCAGTACTTTAAAAGTTTGTAATATACTATATGTTTCAAAAACATTGACACCAACTTACACCACGTACAATTTGATATGCATTCGTAGTTGTGACGCACATTACTCGAGGTTTCTACGTAAACACTCAATAAAAAGTAGCTTAACACGAATTGGAAACAATTTTTTAATGATAATATTTTACTTAGAATTGTAACATTATATTTTGAGCAAATATGATATAAATAAAAATAGGATTCATGTTCAACGTTATCACTACATACTTAAACAAATAATTGAATATTATTTACTTGCTGAGTATTATTCAGACTGCTTTCATGATATATCTCATGAACTTTTTAAATTGAATGTACTTTTATAAATTACAGATGGCACCAAAAAATAAAGAAAATTATACATCTGCAAGTAAAAAGAAAAGACAAATTTCTGAGGAAGAAGATGATGAAGATTATAGAAGACGTAGGGATAGAAATAATCAGGTAAAAAATACATTAACTTGTCAAACTTGTGAATATTCATTTCATTTTTTAATGTTTTTAGGCTGTAAAACGTTCTAGAGTTAAAAGTAAATTACGTAACCAACAAACATTCGAACGTGTAAATCAGTTAAAAACAGAGAATGAATTACTTGAAGAAAAAGTTAAAATGCTTACAAAAGAATTAGGATTTTTGAAAGACCTTTTCCTTGCACATGCAGGTACATTTATATTGTAATAATTTCACAATTTTTTTTTTTTTTTTTATAATATTTATTACACAAATCATGTTCATAATTCTAGGTTCAAGTCAACACTCTGTAAACATTCAAGATATAGATTTAAATGCTCTCTTGGCTGAAGATACAAAACCTGTGGAACATGTAAAAGATATCACTAAACCATAGATTATGATAGATTCCACGTGAAATAAGTAACGTGGTATTGATCAAATCTGAGATGAAGATGCACTTTGGTTTGTCTATTTCTCATAAAAAGTCAGATATCTTGGAAAGATATCTGCTCTTAATTGATTTTTAATGAATTTAAAATGCATGAAATTTTGATACATGCAGCTCATTGCATGTAAAATTTATCATCATTAGAATCTGAAGCATCAATTGAGAGAGGGCTCAAAATTGAAATACTAAAAACTTAGGAGTAGATACTGAAAGATTAAAAAGGCGCATTGGGGTATAAATTATTTGCAATGAAAGAAATGATAATATGTTATATCAAGATAAACATGAAATCTGTATTTACAAAGAAGATAAGTGGATAAAAAAAGCACGTGTATGATACGTTTGTGTATTTACAATATTTAAAATTTGACTATTTCAGAGAAAAAAACATTTTAATGACAAATTTACATATGTCGTAAATATCTATCTTATACGACGGTACCGATAAAATAGCGTGTATTATAATTACTTATAACAGCATTATTTTAATCATTCCATTGTAATTGATTTGTCACCTTTTACTGTTAAACATTTTATGCAACTGAGAGTTTAAAAGAGAAATAACAATTTCATATATCATAAGATGACAAGAGTCTATTTTTCAAAGTTATACTACTATAGAAAATGTTTATTGTTACCTGCAGTATTTTGTGAATTGTCAAGAGTATTTTTAAATTAAATAAAGCAAAATGTATAGAAGCTACATTTATTTATTGAATATATACAAAAACTAGAATTCTAGAAAGAAATGCATATATTAGAAAGATAAATAGTATGCATTTTCCCTAGGAAAAACACCTGTCATCGGTCAGTTACTAGACTCAATATTGACTTCAGTGGCTTGAAGAATTGTTTTTTTTTGTAACACTAGCATGAAAGTTTTAACAGTTAAATTAAATAATAACATAATTTAAGTGAAAAGTGAACATGGGAAAAACAACAAAAGTAGTTGTTTGTGGAATGAAAGGTGTCGGAAAGACTGCGCTGTTGGAGCAACTCATTTATGGGAATGTCAATGTCAAGACAGTAAGAATTTAGGTTATGTTTGAACACAACTTACGAAACAATACACTTCTACATTACACAATGATATTTCAATTTACATTTACGGTTTGATTACAAACAGAAATAACGTAATATTACATACGTATTTTATATGAATTATATTTTGTAATGTAATAGGAAATTCATCCTACGATCGAGGATATTTATGTAGCGAATATAGAAACGGATCGCGGCACGAAGGAAAAAGTGCGATTTTATGACACAGCGGGACTGGAATCTCTTCAAAATAATGCGAATAATCAACAACTTCCACGACATTATCTTGGTTTCGCTGATGGATACGTCTTAGTTTACGATACCGCGAAACCCGAATCCTTAGATGTATTGTTTCCATTGAAAAAAGACATCGACAGAAATAAAGATAAGAAGGAAATAACCGTGATTGTCGTTGGAAATAGAACTAAGGCTGAAGAGGAATCTCACAGTTTGGAAAATACTGCAAGTAAGGCTGCAAATTGGTGTACTAGAGAGAAACTGAAACACTACGAAGTGAATGTCATGGATAGGCTAAGCCTGCTTGATGCATTTGTTCACCTGTCCTCCAGATTAAATCCTCCTACCAATAAAAGCACATTCCCACAGTTGAGTATGGGTAGAAAAAATGTGAAAGTCGATGGACCTTAATCATATTTATTTATAACTTATTAACTTATTGTGTTACCAATCTCATTGGTATTCCTGTAATGATTCACATTGATCTGTTTTGGTATATGCTTGTCAATTTTATAAAAAATGAGCATAGATCAAAAATCATCATGTACTTAAGGCATCAGTTTGTTTAGGTGCTTGATAGTAATGCATAGTTTAGCAGTTTCATCTTACTAAGATCTCGTTCGTCTCTTTGTACAATACCTCGTGCATTTTGTTCCTTCTTTGTACTTAAAATATATTTATCATCGAACAATCGATTGTACGTTGCAATTGACTTAGTTCATACTATTCGTTTGTTACAAAATATTGGCTTGCAAAGCGTATATGTATAAGTTATTTTGTAATGGATCGATTTACCATTCGATCGGTTTCGTTAATTGCCGTAAACTGATGCTCGTTCCAAACACGTAATCCCATAGTTTACTGCTGATACCAAAACCTGAAGAACGAAGTGTTTATGTTTTAATAAATTTACTCGATGTTTCGAGAACGTTGAAAGAGCGTTACCTAATTCATGGTGTAAGAAATGATGATAGTTATGATTCCTTTTCAGAAGATAAAGAAACGTTCCATCCTTCGGCGCGCCGTGATGTAAATAATAGTGTATCAAATCGTAGCTAATGTAGCCTACGAAATTAAGATTTTTTGTCTTTTTTTTTATATTGATAATATGGTTGATATTAATTAGATATAAATAGAACAGTACCTGTTATTGTACCAGCGCCAATAAAGTTAAACATCGTTTGAGAAAACAACGCTTGGTAAATGTACAAAATCAACGTTGCTATCAAAAGACCTGGTACTGGAGGGAATACTAATCTTCTATCGTCAAACGGTGCCTAAGAGACAATAAGTAAAATCTTTTGTGCATACAATTATCGTTTTTTTTTTGTTTTTCTTTTCATTCTTTTAATTACTAAATGAATTTTTATCACAATACGTTTAATATTTTACCTTGTGATGAACGCCATGAAGTATAAAATGTATAGAAATTAGTAGTTTCGAAGTGGCGGGCGGTTTGAAGTGAAAAAGTTTACGATGAAGTACATATTCTAATATACTCCATATCAATATACCGAGTATATAAGAGATTAAAACTTCGAACAAGGTGTTTCCTAAAAGTTCCAAGAAATATATCGAAAATTTATCCTGACGAACAGTTGTGTGATTGTCATTGATTAACGATAACTAATCACTTTTCCAGGTATTCGTTCTTTCGGCACTCGAAACGATTTCACAACAATATTACGTAATTATCGAACGTATAGATAATTAGAAGAAACCAAAAAAAAAAAAAAAAAAAAAAACGAGAAAGTAAAACGTGTGAGAGAATTACCATTGTAAGAGTCGGTAACGCATAACCATCCTGAGTAAAGGAAGTAGATACACAGCGGGATCCATACTATCGGTACTAGATACCAAGGTGTGATCGATAATTTCTCTAAGATATTTGATTCAAATAAACGAATTGGTCGATTCACTGGTAAATTCATCCATTCCCAATATCGATTACTTAACGATCCTACTTGTCGAAGTATAGGCGCGTTCCAATCAATCAGGTCCTACAAACGTTCAAATGAAAACTAGCATCAATTCACAAATCTTTCGGTAACCTCTTTCCTCTATGCTTTTTCAAACTTCTCTATTTTCATGGAAATAAAAAAAAGAAAAAAAAATCGGAATAATTCGAACGCGAACAATACGTGTTCTCACAATAAACTTTTCTTCGTCACACTTGCATCGATTCACAAATCTTTCGGTAACATCTTTCCTTTGTGTGTTTTCAAACTTCTCTATTTTCATGGAAATAAAAAAAAAGAGAAAAAATTCGGAATATTTCGAACACGAGCAACACGTGTTCTCTTAGTAAACTTTTCTTCGTTGACTTACTTCATACTCTTGATATTTCTCTTGATTGTTCAATATGAAGTCTTCCAACAGGTGGAACGCCGCTTTCGAATGTGGATTATCGTCGAATACTTTATCCAAGCTTCGATTTTTAAAGTGTCCCAATGTTTTCTTGCCACCGGGATGATATCGAAGAAATCCCTTTATGTCGTATAATTGTTCCCGGTATCTGATTAGAAACTGATTCTTCTTGTCTTCCGTCGATTCTTCATTGTTTTGCAACCGTTTTTTGCACACGTCGTAAGCAAAGTCCGCGGCACTCGCCATTGAATTGATCGATCGACTTCCCCCTTTGGTTGACCCTTACCAAATCGGTTCGTTCGTTCTCGTGGGCAAAGTGTACGAAAGTGAAATAGGGATTACCGGTAGTGCGAGAACCAGTGTATAGAATGCGTTGCTAAAACGCCTACGTTTTAGCTCAACTGTTTTATCATGGCACACTCGAAATTTTTGTAAATTACGCGTGCGCGTAATATCGTGTACGAATAGTGGTCACACTGTTATCTTCGATGCGTTACCTACTGTGATAAGTTCCTGTCTATACGTTTACGTCATCGTTGAAACTTTTTATTGCACTTCGAACACCTCGCCTCATTCTCTTCGTCTTCTCGCTGCATTATATTTGAAATCGTTAGAAATTATCATTGTTTCAATAAAATCGCGTCATCGAACGTGTTATCTATCACGTATGTTTCCTGCGCGGATACGTTTCCTCTTTTTTCCTTTTTTTTTTCTTTTCCTTCGTACTTGTCTTTTTGTTCAAATAATCGTTCAGTTCCTAGTTGCTTTTTCCCACTTCCGGCGAGGTAAGCTGTCGCACTTCAAACGATAGTGTGCGCGCCTAGCAATGACTCAACGTTTGTGTCGGCCAAGAGAAAATCTTCAATTATCAGTTATAGAAGAAACGTTTCATCTGTTTATACGTGAGTATCGACGTCAGATAACTATCTATAGTTTAAATCGATAACTGAGGGTTAAAGGTTCGAGTTCCTTCTGGGGTTCAGTCTACTTCTGGTCTCGTTTTCGTATACCATCGCAGTCGGTCTAATTGCACGAATCTCGTGATTTCTACCAGCGATAATTCAATTTACCGACCAAATTTTCAATTGCACTCTCGTATGAAACAGTATCGTTATCTTGTTCTTAGAAGTTGTTAAAAAAAAAAACCCAGTGATGGTTGCGTCATGACATGTAATATGAGGATATGAGGTGTTGACATATTACCTGCAAGCTAAAACACTCCTCTGTAAAAAAATTTTACTTTTAAGTATCTCTCTCTCTCTCTCTCTCTCTGTTGCATTTGTTTCTTTCGCGTTCTTCGTTACACGACGAAGTTCTAGATACGATCGACTTAGCCAATAATGACAGTGTGCGAGTAGGGGTGTCGGTGTTACACTATAGTCACTTAGATTGTTGGTTCAATGAATAATTCCCATGTCCTCTGTACTGTTTTAGCTTGAAGGTAGTGTGCCAATTTGTATCTCCGCAATTTCCACCCTTACGGCACGTATGGGCAACCCCCGGCCCGCGACTTCTTTTAGTCTGCCCCGCGAGCAAAATATTGCCCGCGAAGTCTTCACTCCAAATTTCCATGTATTCCAACGAATTTTTATTAACCCTCCAAGTCCAGGGGTGTTTTAAACTCGTAGAATTTTTTTCAGGGTTTAAATACACTTTATACTTCGGATTGTGAGACTACTCGTGAAAAATGTGAAAATTATTTCAGGTATGACTTAGAGCAGGGGTTCCCAAAATGCGGCCCGCAAATCCTAGAAATACGGCCCGCGACGGCAGATCAGCCGCGATCTTGAATTTACAGAGATAATTTACATTTTTACAAAAAAATAAATAAATTTTATCATATTGTAATTAAAAATTGTTCAGTTAAAAAAATACTAAATTTTATATGTAATATATCTTGTTATTATATAGATTGTACATATTTTATTGTCTTAACGGCCAATGGCTGTAATTGTCTTAATAGCCCGCCAAATATTTTGGAATCTACAATTTGGCCCACCTAGGCAAAACTTTGGGAACCCCTGACTTAGAGGGTTAATTCCAGCTCTATAGAGATACTAATTACTATCGTGTTTCGTTTGATTATTTTATTTAATATACTAGCCTTTTATACATACGCACAATTCATACATAGACACGCGAAAATCCATTTAGTCCGGGCTCCCTCGACTCGGACAGAGAATGATAATTTCGTCCAAGAACCAGGAAAATTCGCCCATGCCTGTGCCTTTTACGGTTATGCTATTCCTCGTTACTTCGTTACTCGTGAAACGCGCGCTTGACAGCCGATGGTAACATTGGAGATATGGAAGGGGCTGGTGCAAAGGGATCGAGGGGGAAAAAGTCGATAATAAAACAGCGTCTATAAGTCCTCGTACTCGGCAATAAATAAGCTTTTATTTAAACGTCTTGGATACTTGTGTATACAATATACCCTATGTACGATCTATATTTAAATGTCTACGAACGTAGCAGCGGTCATGCTTCTTCGGTTTATACGAGATGGAGAGGGGTAGGGTGGGGAGAGAACAGAAAGAACGAAAATGACGAGAAGAAACGAAAACGGTATTTAACGGCGCTTTTCCGAGCTCAACAGGAAGGAAGATAGTGGTCTGGTTGTGTTTTTTTTATCGGGAGAGATAAATCTAAAGCATTCACGCTGCCAAAAAATATAGCATTTTCGAGCATCGCTGGCGCAACGCGATGAACATTGTGTCGGTATTCTCCCTTATTCTTTTTTCTTTCTTTCTTTTCTTCTTCTTCTCATCGTCATACTGTTTAACATTGCTATCATCGATGTGCTCGAGCCAGGTACTGACCTCTCGCGAAAAGTATTCATTCTCGTGTTATCGGTAACTTGTAATCTATCCAGAGGTGTGGGGAATCGGGTTTCGAAGAGGCGTGTGTGTGTGTGTGTGAAGGGGGAAACGAGAGTTTTTTTCTTTCTTCCTCTTTTTCGACCTGTTGTTGTTCCATCTTTTCCACAGTTTCGTGCTATCTGGAGGAAAAGCGGGATTCGTTCGAACTGAAAGAAGTACTTTTCATTTACGAAAGGGAACTTCGTCGAAGACTCGAATCATCGCGAACAAAAATCTCCTCTTCGTGGTTTCTGTTCTTTTCTCTAGTTTTTTTTATTTATTTCTTTTTTATTCTCTTAAGTACGACCCTATGGAGAGAAAAAAAAATTATACTTTGACACGTCTCTGTCTTTCGAGACGTCCAGATTTTCTTCTTTTTTTTTTTCATTTTTTTTCCTTTAGAAACGGAACTTCGCGCGGTCTACGGTAAGTAGTATCTTGGATTTCTAGGAAGTATTTTGTTTTCTCTTTTTTACGAAACTCGCGAAGAGATACCGTCTATACACTATATGTTTAACCTACTCGTATACGGAGCTATTTAGGCGAGTAGGGTTTCCGGTGGTTTAGAATTCCTAGATTTAGCTCTTGACGACATTTTCATTACTTCGTCTGACTATTTTTCTTTGCTTTTTTACTCTATTTTTTTCTTCTTCTTTTTTTCACCTTGTTCTCACCCCTGAGGTTTGGAAGCAGTATAGGAACGTACTCACCGTCTAGAAATCGATCGTGAAAATACGTTTCGAACGTATGTATGTTATTCGATTTTTGCTATGTCGACGAGTCTAATTCGTCGGAACTATTCGACTGGGTTTTTCTCTTTTCTTTCTTTAGAACGACCTGTCGTTGAAATTGTGAAAATTCGGAAGGTCGATCGTGAAATTATACTCATCGTATAAAGCAGACGGCACTCTTTTTTACTCTTTTTTCTTCTACTAAAGTCGCGAAGGAGGGAGACTAATATCAACGCGATTCGTTTCTTCGCGGAGGATATCTATAATTGTTGAACGACGACGATGTTAAACAGGTGGTTACACGTGTGATTCTCTAATTTCTTTTTTGTCTGATGTATAATTGAAATCGAACGAGCAAACGTAAAGAACACGTCAAAGAGTGTAATCTCGTTTGACAGTGAAACAGAATCGTCGTCGTTTCCATGACGTTCAGGCCGTTAAAAATGATATTATACTTTGCGTCTCATAGAACCGAGCAAACCAATAGAAAAATAATAACGAATGCGCGACGAAACGATCTCGAGCGCGATTAAAATCGGTCTCTCTCTCGTTACGATTACCACATTTTTCTGTAACGCTGTCTTATTCTTTCTTTTTTCTTCTTATTTTGTTCTTCTCATTTTTTTTTTTTGTTTTTGGTTTTCGTTTATTTGCTTCGTACACTAATTCCCGTGTCACAGGTTCGACGGAAGGTAAAGTATTGCTTTCGAAAAGCACCTCGCGATCATCTTCGTTCGATCATCCAGATCGATAAGTTCGTCTCTCGTTTTCTTCTTACGCGTCTCCTAAAGAACACCGAAGGTGTGCTCTCGCGTAGGGATAAATTTCTTCCCAATTTATCCACATCTTTCTCCGTTGTTCGTTCGACGAAACAGCGTCGAGAATCGATCGCGAACCCGGGACAAACGTTCGATTAATAGTCCATCACTTCCATTTTGAAGGGTTTACCCTGAAATTTATTGGGCACGATCTTCGTGATTGGCGGTGCGCTGTTGTTATCGTCGTCGCTGTTCACATCTTCGTCTTCTTCCGGAAAGTCCTCGAGGCGATCGTGATATTCGTCCATCTAAAAATCGAAATCATCGTGATATTAATTATCAAGTGAATTCTACCCGTTTTACTTATATTCGTGAACGAACGAATAATCGCAGCTAAAGGCTATGCGTGATCGTTCGAAATGTGCGCCAGCTAGCGCGTGTTCTTTATCGGTGAAAGAGTGCGGTGCCAGAAGTGAGACATTAAGCCAGAAAGCTTTTCTTTTTATTTCAATTGAAATAAACGCTCTGCTATTTTTTTTCTCTTTTTCATAGGTGATATATTACAGACGAATTTTTTATTTTGGTAATCGATAACGTTCTGTTAAGAATTCCGCAAGGGTCTTTTTTATGAGAAAGCCTTTGGGAAAGATGTGATCCAATGTTTTTCCTCCTCGTGCTCGAAGACCTCCGTCGTTATCGAGAGACAGAAACGATAGTGCGAAGCGCGCAAAGATTAAGCTAAAACGAGCGCATTCCATATGTAGTATAACTACGGACTCACGTGTAAAGGTAGCTATGGAAGAAGCGATTAATCGACGTTACCACACACGGAACGGACGCTTCCCTATAACTGCAGGTACGTCCAACGTGAATCTTAATTGCTCGTTCAATTCTTAATCGACGCACCTTGAGTCAATTTCCTTACTCTCTCTCCCTTTCTCTCTCTCTCTCTCTCTCTCTCTTTCTCTTTGTTGCAGCTTTAATTCACGGAGCCCGCGTCTCTTGGTGCGCCAATTAAGTCGCCCCCTCTCTCTACACTATGATGACTACGTCTCTACGTTGTCTAAACAAGCATATGAGAAACGTGCCTCATTGCGTTTTATCGACAGTTAATTACGATCGATGATACACTAACGAATATCAAATAAATTACAATTGATGTAAGGTGATAAAAATGGGAAATGCGATGTAGGAGACTTTCCCCTACTTGATACACGATGACGATACAAATTCGTTATTATTTCAACGTCTCTTTTTTAGAGTGTGAAGATAAGAAGCTGGGAGAGATGTGAAGAGAGAAAGAAGCACATTGATATGCAAATGCGTGTGTCGAATAATTGTGTGTTTTATTTTCACACGTTGTCAATCGAAAGAGTTACACATTTGTATTTTTAAGAAAATATGCAATCGTGCAATATTTTATGCAATAATATCGTAAGAACCAAAGAAAAATTTTAGGTGGACCAAGCGAGAATCGAACTCAGGACCTTCGGGGTGGCAGCTGGGACACTACCCCCTGAGCCAAGATGCCCTCTAGATTTTCTTGCTCTTATTTCCCCTTTTGAGTAGAACGGAGGTCGCAATCTCACAATGTTGTAAAAATAATTTCTCAACGATTTGTTAACGATTATTCAACGATTGGCAACGTGTTAAATAAATAAAATGGCGACGAATGAAGAGGAGGTATGTTGGATGTGGATGAAACGAGCTCGTTGCGAACGAACTATTTCCGCAATCTACTCACATCGACGTCGCCCATCATCTCTTTGGTGGAAACGGTGGTATCGATACGTCGTATGCTGCCCTGATGAATGTCAACGTCCAGCTTGACGCATTGGAACCGTCTCAAAAGGAATACAATCGGTATTGGCGCGATGCCCGCGAAAATGATGACAACCGCTATGGCCAACACCCAGCTGGGATAGGCGGTAGGCACCGTTATACCCTGGAACGAGCAAACAAAAATGGAAGGGAAGAAAAATGTCGAGGTCGAGTCATATTAAGAATTTTTTGGCAACGGAATCGAGGACACCGATGTTTGTACTTACCCGGGACGCGTCCCAAGCAGAATATTGGGGCTTTTTGATGAACATAGACGCTATACTGGAGAGGAGAATACAGACCATAATTAAGGGCGCGAGGAACCGCCAGGTGAATTGCCAATACATCCCTGGTTTGTATCCTGTCATTTCTTCGATATCTTTGGTGAATCTGAAAATTCAGTTATTTTATATCAATATATATTTTGTTTTTTATCTCCTAGGGACAACTGGTATTTTGAACGTACTTCTCGTGACCATAGATGAAGATGACAGAAATCATTTCCATGAGCGCGACCATTACAAGACCAATGGTACCAGCGAAACTGTCGAACATTTTCAGCCAATATTCTCCTGCACCGGTGCAGAAGATCAGACCAACGAAAAAGCAGACAGTGCAGACCACTCCTGAAGAAGAAAATAGCTCTTTAATAAATGGTCCTTTAACACGTTCGCTGCTACTACAAAATTACGAGAGACGTGTCGAGTGTCGCCAATTTGTAACTCTCAGTCAGACACGTGATCTTCGCGAGAATTTTCGTGACGGTAGTCATCGATCATATTCGAGTTCTGTGCCGACAATGGTTCGACGGTGGTAGCAGCGAAAGTGTTAAGAGGAGAAAAAAGAATTTTCAAGCTTGTACCTGTCATGTATTGCTTCTTTATTCTCTTGAATAGATCTATGTCAAATATAACGCACAACATTCCTTCTAGTATACCGATCTGAGAACCCAGGCCGAGTGCTAGAAGCATGAGGAAGAAGATGCAGGACCAAAATGGCGCGCCAGGCAATTCGACTATCGCCTGTGTGAAGACTATAAAAGCCAATCCTGTCCCTTCTGCTACCTATCGATCGATCAATTTCACGGAAGAATAAAAAAACGATGAAAAAATAACAGAAGAAAATATATTTAAAGAAACGTCACTTAATATCACTTACGTTATCTAACTGTTCGCTAAGACTGCACGTTTCAATAGTAAGATTCAACACAGATGCGTTTAACGTATTTACAACCTGATCGTATTCCTCCATAGTGATGTTCTCGTGCGCTGTAAGTCCATTTTGGAATAGTAAGTCTTTGTTCCTGAAACAGTGAAGCAAGATTGCACGATACATGGAGAACGATAAGGTTCCTCGGTTATTTTCCAATGTAATTAGGTGAAAATCAGTTTACCTGGCGAGGCACTTATCGACCATTGTCGTCGCCTT